AAATAACAATTGCTACTATTTATCAGGTACACAGCTGTGTACTTTACATAAATTATCTCATGTAATCCCTATAGCAGAAAGGCAATGAGTACAGCATTTCTATTTTAGAGAAAAACTGAGCTTCAGACAGGTTAAAGACAATGAAAAATCACAGGACTGGTGAACGTTTTGGGATTTGAATGTAGAATTGCCCCTCTTGGCTTTACACAGTTAGTTCTTTCTATATTTTTTGTTTGTTTCATTCTTCCCCAGATGATTTAGTACACATCTCTTTATTTTTTTCCTCTATAACATACTGATTGATTTATGTGTTCTTTTTTCTTTTCTAACTTACAATCCCTTTAGAGAAAATATTATGTGTAATTCATTTTGGATATCATTATCCAGAACTGTGCTTGACACTTAATAGGTATTAATACATATTTTCACTTATCGGTAAATTAATTTTTATCAAATATTATCAATTTGTCTTCTCACAGAAATCATGTCAGATTCATGTGTTGAAATAGCAGGCCAGGCGAGGTGGCTCACGCCTGTAATCCCAGTACCCTGGGAGGCCAAGACAGGTGGATCATGAGGTCAGAAGTTTGAGACGAACCTGGCCAACATGATGAAACCCCATCTCTACTAAAAATACAAAAATTAGCCAGGCATGGTGGCACACACCTGTAATCCTAGTATGTGGTAGAGAAGTAATGACAGATTTAGGTTAAAACGGCAGAATTTGTATATTCAAATTATATTTCTTTTAAATAATCAACTAGAGAAATAGCATCTTTGTTTTAAAAATACTGCTAATATTCAGAACAGCTTTGGAGCTTGTTTTTATTCCCTCAATGTATGAAACCTTATTTGAATTTATATTCTATAGTAATTAAACAAAGTTTCAAAATATTTTGATAGAATCTTTCAAGGTGAGAGAGAATACTGTTACGTGAGCTCTAGATATTTGTAAAAGTTATTTGTAGTAACATCTTAAACATCAATATACTTTTTCAGTAATGCTCAACTGTGGGACTAAAGCAATGTTTTTATTCTTTTTTGAACAAAATAAATACAGGCATACCTTATGTTATTGTGGTTCACAAATAGTGCATTTCTTACAAATTGAAATTTTGTGACAACCCTCATCAAGCAAGTCTGTCGGTGTCGTTTTCCTAACAGCTTTTGCTCATTTTGTGTCTTTGTGTCACACTTTTGTAGTATTTCAAACTTTTTCATTATTATCTTTATATCTTTGATGTTACTGTTGTCATTGTTTTGAGGCACCACAGACTGCACCCATATAAGATGGTGAATTTAATTGATGAATGTGTGTGTTCTGATTGCTTCACTGACTGGTAGTTCCCCTGTCTCTCTCCTCAGACCTTCTTATTCCATAAGACAAACTAACACTGAACTTAGGCCACTTAATGACCTATAGGGGCCTCTAAGTATTCAAATGAAAGAAAGAGTTGCATGTCTCTCACTTGAAATCAGGACTAAGCTTGGTGATGAAGGCATATTGAAACCTGAGATAGGCACAGAATTAGGCCTCTTGCACCAGTTATCCAAGTTGTGAATGCAAAGGAAAAGTTCCTGAAGTGCTACTCCAGGCCAGGTGCAGTGGCTCATGCCTGTAATCTCAGCTCTTTGGGAGGCCAAGGCCAGTGGATCACGAGGTCAGGAGTTCAAGACCAGCCTAGCCAACATAGTGAAACCCTGTCTCTACTAAAAATACAAAAAATTAACCGAGTGTGTTGGTGTGCACCTATAATCCCAGCTACTCGGGAGGCCAAGGCAGGAAAATCGCGTGAACCAGGGAGGCGGAGGTTGCAGTGAGCTGAGATCACACCATTACACACCAGCCCAGGTGACAGTACAAGACCCAATCTCGAAAAAAAAAAAAAAAAAACTGTTACTCCAGTGAACATACACGATAAAAAAGCAAAACAGCCAGGATCTTGTAGTCTCAGCAACCCGGGAGACTGAGGCAGGAGGATTGCTTGAGCCCAGAAGTTTGAAACTAGCATGGACAACAAAGTGAGAACCTGTTTCTTTAAAAAGGAAAGAAAGAAAGGAAAAATTAGCTGGATGTGGTGGCACACACCTATGGTCCCAACCACATTGAGAAGCTAAGGCAGAAGGATCATTTGAGCCTAGGAGTTCAAGGTTGCAGTGAGCTGTGATTGTGCCTGGATCTGTACTCCAGCCTAGGCAACAGAGAAAGACCCTATCTCTTAGAGAAAAATAATAATGAAAGAAAAAAAGAGAGGTGGGCAGGGAGGGAGGAAGAAAGGAAGGAGGAAGGAAGCCTTCTTACTGTTAATGGAGAAAGTTTTAGTGGTATGGATAGAAGATCACAACAGTCACTATGCCAAAGCCTACTCGAGAGCAAGGCCCTAACTCTTCTCAATTCCATGAAGACTGGGAGAGGTAAGGAAACTACAGAAGAAAAATTGGAGGCTAGCAGAGGTTGGTTCATAAGGTTTAGGTAAAGAAGCCACCTCCATAACATAAAAGTGCAAGGTAAAGCAGTAAGTGCTGATTGAGAAGCTGCAGTACGTTATCCAGGAGATCTAACTAAGATCATTGATAAAGGTGGCAACACTCAACAGCAGATTTTCAGAGTAGATAAAACTGCCTTCTATTAGAAGAAGATGCCATCTAGGACTCTCCTAGCTAAAGAGAAGTCAGTGCCTGGCTTCAAAGCTTCAAAAGACAAGCTGACTCTTGTTGAGGGCTAATGCGGCTGGTGACTCTAAGTTGAAGCCAGTGTTCATTTACCATTCTGAAACTTCTAGGACCCTTAAGAATTATGCTAAATCTATTTGTGCTCCATAAGTGGAACAACAAAGCCTGGATGACAGCATATCTGTTTACAACATGGTTTACTGTGAACATTTCAAGCCCACTGTTGAGTCCTACTGCTCAGAAAAAAAAGAAATTATTTCAAAATATTACTACTCACTGACAGTGCACCTAGTTACCCAAGAACTCTGATGGAGATGTATTATGCAAAGAGATTCATGTTGTTTTCATGCCTGCTAACACGACATCTTCTGCAGCCAATGTGTCAAGAAGGCATTTTGACTTTCAAGTATTCTTATTTAAGAAATAATTTTTTTTTAAGCTGTAGCTGCCATAGATAATGATTCCTCTAATGGATCTGGGCAATGTAAATTCAAAGCCCTCTAAAAAGTGTGTATTCATCATTCATCATTTTAGATTCCATTCAGAACTTTTGTGATTCATGGAAGGAGTTAATGTCATGTTAATGTTAATGTCAGTATTAACAGGAGTTAGGAAGAAGTTGACTCTATTCTTCATGGATGACTTTGAGAGGTTCAAGATTTCAGTGGAGGAGGTCACTGTAGCTGTGACTGTAGAAATAGCAAATGAAGTAGAATAACAAGTGGAGCCTGAAGATATGACTGAATTGCTACAAGCGCCATGATAAACTTGAATGGATAAGGAGTTGCTTCTTATGGAGGAGCAAAGAAAGTGGTTTCTTCAGGTGTAATCTACTTCTGGTGAAGCTATTTTGAACGTTGTTAAAATGACAAGGGATTTAGAATATTTTGTGAACTTAGATGGTAAGGTAGCAACAGGGTTTGAGAGGGAAAGAAGTTCTACTGTGTGTAAAGTGCAACACCATTGCATGCTGCAGATAAATATTTTCATGGGCTGGGCAGAGTGGCTCATGCTTGTAATCCCAGCACTTTGGGAAGCTGAGGTAGGACGATCATTGAGACCAAGAGTTCAAGACTAATCTAGCCAATATAGTGAGACCCCATCTCTATTTAAATAATAAATAATTTAAAAAATATTTTTACAAAATAAATAAAAAGAATATTTTCATGAAAGAGTCAGTGGATGCAACAAACTTCATTTTTGTCTTATTTTAAGAAATTGTCACAGCCACCCCAACATCCAGCAGTCACCACCCTGATCAGTCAGCAGCCATCAGTATCAAGGCAAAACCCTCCACTAGCAAAATGATTACAATTTGTTAAAGGCTCAGAAGAATTATTAGCATTATTTTAGGAATGAGGTGTTTATTAAGATGTGTACATTGAGGTTTAGACATAATGCTATTGCACACTTAATAGGCTACAGCATAGTATAAACATAATTTTTATTTGCACTGAGAAACCCCAAAATTTGTGTGACTCACTTTATTGCAATATTACCATTATTGCAGTGGTCTGAAACTAAGTGCACAGTATCTCAGAGATAACACCTGTATTGGTGTAAAATGAAGGTCTAGAAGCCTAGATGTTAGGATTGTGCTATTACTTTATTTTTAGAAGATACGGCATAATACTGTGATTGAAATGTATACTCCCCAGGAAGTCTTGTTTCCTAGATTGAGGAAGAGTGGAAATAGGGAGTAGAGTAAACTTCCTGCCGTGTTACTATTAGCATCCCCATAAATGCCATTTCCTTGTATTAATTAAGGGTTCAGAATCTTAACTTTGTTTAGAGTTTAAATGGCAAGATAAAAACATGCACATGTGTTAATACAACATGATATTTTCAGTGAAGTAAATCTTATTACCTGGATCTGTTCCTCCTACCATTCTCATTTATGTTGGCATTTTTATGAGGGCTCCTTAAGCTGAGAAATTGGTATTTGAACTTAGAGAAGATTATACCCAAACCTGCAGAAATTACAGAAGCATTTCTTTTAGAACTGTATGATTAACAAAATCACACACTTGAATCTTTAAAAGACAGTTCATTTTTCAGGATTATTTTATGAAACATTGACAATGCAATGGAAGCGGGTTATTTAGGACTATGTGACATGACTACGTTTACAACTGAGACCAGAGGTTTTTTTCTGTAGTCACTGTTCTGTCCCCAGCATGTAGTATAATACCTTGCTCAACAGATAATTCAGGAATGAAAAAACTATTTGTGGATAGAGTGGATAAATAGTGATCTGATAGGTACTATATTATTTCTTCATGCAAATATGAAATCCCTAATGTATTTAATAAAATTATGTTTTACAGTTGGTGGCTAAAGGAGTAAAGGGTTCTGATGTTTCTCCACCTTTGGGACAACATGAAACAGGTGGCTCTCCATCAAAGCAACAGATGAGATCTGTTATTTCTGTGACTTCAGCTTTGAAAGAAGTTGGTGTGGTAAGTTTCCTAAGATTCAGAACTCGAAGTCAAAAATTATTTAAAAGGAAATTAAATTTCCTGAAATCATATTAATCCCTAATGTCCCTTTCAGGTGTTTCTAGGGGAAAAAAATTATTTTTTAAGGGATTTTAGCTTACTCAGAATATTGGAGTCTCATTGTTTATAAGCTTTATATGTAGGACTACCTAGTAGATCAAAATACATTAAAACAACTCTAAAAATTACTTTAAAGGAATAATGAAAAAAATATACGTAGAAATGTACTGAAAATAATAATATAAACATTATTCTATCCAACCCTCGGGATTAACAAATATTCACTTAAAAAAAAAAATCTCTTTGGTACTAAAGTAGCTCTAGGAATTAAGTCCAACACATGTTTACATTTATTCAAATTTTGTGTCATAGCAAATGTTAGAGGACTCAGTATAACTACAGTTAATTCATCAGTTATTTCTTTTTCCTTCTACTTCTGAACTTCTATCATGCCATACAAATAGTAAAAAAAAGAAATATAGACAAAACGTTTAAACTTAGAAGTATATTTCAGATATCTGTCTGAAATGAGAAGACTCTGTTTAGGGGTGAAGAGATATGGGCTGATAGTGTGGAGCTGCTGCCTAGAATTCAACAGACAGAAGGAGAAAAGTCTGTTGAATCATATAATAACCTCATTTTCTCCTTTCCTGGTAATGGATGTCTGTGCCTTTTATTTGTTGAGTTTCAGTAAATATTTGCAGACAAAATTGGAACACTAGTTTTGTTTTGTTTTTTTTTTTATATAGCCTTTGGGTTGATTTTGAAAATAAGACTGAGTAGGAAAATCTAAGTTTCTTGATCATTCTCAAGAAATTCATGTAAGAAACTATTGTTGTTCAAGTAGGTTTAGTCACCTGTTCTTTCTGATAATGATTTTGCATGTGCTACGTTGTTACTCCAACTTCAGATACCACTGTGTGGTTCCCTTCTGGGTGGTACCCAGTCTCACATCTCAACTAGCTGTTCACCTCTCTGGTTGTAGGACTGCTAATTCCTGACTACTTTATTGGGTAAAATGTTCTTTGTCTCATTGCTTCTTATATTACTTTGAAACTGACCACCAAATTTTTAATTTTTTTTTAAGTATTACAAAATTTGAGGTAATTCATATAACTGAATGGTTTTCTTTCTGTGTTGCATTTTTAAATGTCACTTACTTAAAACTTTGAAAATTGCTCTTGGAATCTTCTACATGCCTTTGCTTTCATAGCTTACATAACTGCTAATTTATTCTTTTCATATATTTTTAAATTTTAGGTAGTCTATTCTAGATTGCTTTGACAGTACTAATTAGGAGATGAAATTTATGTCACTTATAGTATGAATGACTCAGAACTAATTTTTGTTACATTCTTTGTTTAGGGAGGAAAGCCACTTCTCAATTACATTTAGTACTATGGCTTAACAAGAATAAATAGACACGAAACATAAAGACAGTTTTAGAATAATACAGCCTATTTTGAATTGCCTTATTCATCAAAACTTTTTCTAGTTGTAATTAAGAGAGTACATGAATTTTCCTTTCATTTCTACCACTGACTTATACCAGAAAATCAGGCGCCAGAAGGGAAGAGGATATAGTTAATTATGTGAGCAATAATCCAAAAATATGACAAATAATTGAGAATTGGCCCCTCTCTATATTGTCTAATTACTAATATTTAAAGGTTAATCATTGCTGATAATGAAGGAAGCTGTGTTAACATTTTACAGGTATAAAAAATTTACAAGGAACAAATTAGTGAAAAGCAAAAAGTAACTAAGATATCATATTTTTAAAGGTAGATTTAAAAAAATAAAATTATTTCTTACTCTGTATCCATCTGTATTTAAAGGACAGTAGTTTAACTGATATCCGGGAAACTTCAGAAGAAATGCAAAAGACCAACAATGCCATTTCAGTAAGTAAAATTTTCAAAATTTATCTGTCAATCATTTTACTTAATATACTTATTAAAATATTAAAATATATAATGTTATAACTTTCAGAATAAGCGAGAAATACTTCGCAGATTAAATGAAAATCTTAAAGCTCAAGAAGATGAAAAAGGAAAGCAGCATCCCTCTGATACTTTTGAGATAATTGTTCATGAAGATGCCAAAGAGCATGAAAAAGAAAAATCAGTTTTTTGTGATCGCAAGAAGTGGGAGGCTGGAGGTCAACTTGTGATGCCTCTGGATGAGCTAACACTTGATACATCCTTCTCTGCAACTGAAAGTATGTATACAAGTATATTAATATCCTGTTTGGGTCTAGTATGTATGTAAACTTGCAGACGAACCACTCTGGAAAAAAATGAACATTTAGAAGAATCGAGAGAAGCTGAAAGAATTCTATATATTTTCCTTTTGGGGTAGTAGAAATGCCTCCCTCTCACAGTGAAATGTGAAGAACAGAGAAAACTAATCAGCCTTAATAGCAAGGATTTTTACTACAAAAATATATACTGTAAGAGAGGGAACTAATAATACATATTTAAATTGTATTACTTTAACTCTGTATACCATGCTAAATTAATCTGTTTCTACCAATAATTCTTGATGAGAACCAGAGTAGTGTCTCAGAAACATCTCTTAGGCATTCAGTGAGAGTATTGAGAAAATCTGACTTAATGATTTATTTATTCACTGATAATTACTGAGAACCTATATTTCCTTACATTGTTCTAGGCACCGGAGATATAGCAACAAAACAGAAACATACGTGCTCTAGTGGAGCTTACATTCTAAAGGGGCAAGTCTGACCATCAACAAGTCTGATTTTAAGTAATTTTTTTCATGGACTATTTTTGTACAACTTTTTCTTGCATTGGAAAGAAGCCCAAAGACTTGATAGCATTTATTTATTCAGCAGTTCTTTATTGGGTACCTGCCATATGCAATACACTCTTAAGCAATGGGAATATAATAATGTTTAAAAAGTAGTTCCTCCCCTTACGATCTAGTGGAAAGGCAGGCAAGAAAAGAGATAATTATAGTTGATAAATAATATGCTAGGAGTAATTATAAGTTACTGTGGGAATACATAAGAGACTGTAAATTCGTCTTGGAAGAGCCCCCCTGATCCAGTCACCTCCCGCCCTCGACACAGGATTATAATTCGAGATGAGATTTGGGTGGGGACGCTCTCTGACTGCTTTTATGATTTGTCTTTATCACTGGTTTTGAGCAATGTGATTGTAAGGTGCCTTGGTGTAGTTTTCTTCATGCTTCCTGTCCTTGGGATTCGTCGAGCTGCTTATATCTGTGGGTTTATGGTTGTCACCGTTGGAACATTTTCAGCCATCATTTCTTCTAATATTTTTTCTGTGCCTCCTCCTCCTTCTATTCTTTAAGGACTCCAATTTCACTTGTCTCATACCTCAGTGGTGCTTTTTATTTTATTTTTTTAGATTGTTTTTGTGTTTCACTGTGCATAGTTTCTACTGCTCTGTCTTTAATAGATGGTAGTCTTTTATTTTCTGCCATACTCAATCTGCTATTAATCCTATTCAATGTACTTTTCATCTCAGATACTGTAGTTTTCACCTCCAGAAATCTAAGAAGTTGTTTTCTATCTACCACGTCTCTAACTTTTTTGGTCATGTGGAATACAGTTGCAAAAACTTCATTAATGTCCTTAATTACTAATTCTAACATCTGTTTCAGGTGTTAGAATTTTTTCCTTGTTACAGGTCATATTCTTCTGTTTCTTTGGGTGTTTGGCTGTTTTTAATTAGATGTTAGACATACTGAATTTTACCTTGTTGGGTGCTAGGTATTTTTTTTTTTAATTATTCTGGAGATTTATTCTGGAATGCAGTTAAGTTATAATACTTGGGCTCAATTTGATTCGTTCATGTCTTGTCTTTATATTTGTGAGGTGAGATCACAGCCATGTTTAGTCTAATGCTGATTATCCCCATTTTGAATATAAGATGCTTCTTAGTGCTCTACACAGGAATGATGAGGTTTCCCAGTTTGGCTGGAAGGAATAGACACTATTTAATTTCTTATGTTCTCTGTTTGGGTGCTTTTTTTCCTAACTTAGGTAGTCTTCTCATGTATTTGCCCTAATCACCACTCTGCTCATACTCAAGGGCTACCATCTGCAGATCTCTGGAATTCTCTTTCTATTTGCCTTGGTCTTCCAGGAATCCCAGCTCTACCTCCTGAACTCAGGGAGTGTGCTGGACCCATTAGCAACAGCCTGAAAACTCTAAAAGGCTGGAGCAATCATAGGGAAATCTCATTCGTTTTTGTTTTTGTTTTTTCTCTCTCAGGGACCCATTTTCTTTATTATCTGTTGTACAATGTCTTGAAAGTGCCGTCTCATATTTTGTCCAGTTGTTTTGATTATTTAGGAAACAGCATATCTCTAATTACTCTGTGCCATCTTAGTAAGAAGTAGATACCCTTGAAACCAGTTTTTAGAGGCTATTGCACTAATCTAGGCAAAAGTTAATGATGACCTTAACTAAGTTATTGAAAAGTAATAAAGAGAAGAGGAGATATTTAAAAGATACTTGGAGATTGATGTAGGGGCTTTATGTGAAACTCTTCTAAGAGTTCATCAGAGGAAGAAGTTTGCAAAGAAAATGAGGAACAGAGAGAGATAAAATTAGGAGGCTGTGGTATGGATTCCAAAGAAAGAAGAGAGCACTTCAGGAAGAGAGGTAACATATTGAGGGCTAAAAAATGTGTACTGGATTTGTCAGGGAAGATGCAATGTGAGCTTGGTAAAAAACAGTGTCATTAGAGTGTTGGAGACAGAAATAGAATCCAAGAATTAAGAAGTGAATAGAAGAGGAAATTTTAAAAGAGATTTTAGAACCTTTTCAAGAAGCTAAACTGTGAAGCAGAACAGAAAGGTAAGATGGTATTACTTAGTGAGGATGTAGGGTGATTGTAACCTTGTAAAAAAGAGACTTCGAAATATTTTATGTTAATTAGAGAAGCAAAGTATATCACATCACTTTCTCATTTTAAAACCTACTTGGTTTTCATTGCAACTAGAATAAAAGTCCAAAGTTCTTTTTGTGATTACAGGTCTCTCCTCTCCCTTGGTTTATGCTTTGCCTATTCATTGTATCCATTGCCTTCTACCTAGCTCACTAGGAACTACTTACTTCTCACCTTTCACTTCTTAAAACATGCCAAGCTCTTTCTTTCCCATAGTACTCTTCCCCTTTCCTCTTTCCCGAGTCCTTAATGTGGCTGCTTCTCTTTTTGTTCTGTCCCTGTTCTTTAGCTCTCACCCCATTTCTGAACATCATCTTTATATCAGAATTCTTCTAAAGTATTCTCTATTTACAATTCCAGTTCCTCTCCTTCTATTCTCCCTTAACCTGCTCCAACCAGACTTTTTCCTCTACCACTCTGTTGTAATTCTTTACATGGTCCCCAAAGACCTCTATGTTGTAAGTTTTAAAGGCCGTACATTATGTATTTACAGCTTTGACATCCTGGATTGTTGTCCATACCCACACGTACCTGTGCATGCACATACTTTTCTTGAAGCATTTTCTTCACTTTTCTGCCCTCTATTAATAGTAGACCTCTTCTCTCTCCCTCTCCCTCTCTCACTCTTTCTTTTTTTTAATTTATTTTTATTTTTTAATATTTTGTAGAGATACTGTTTTGCCATGTTGCCCAGGCTGCTCAAACTCCTGGCCTGAAGTGATCCACCTGCTTTGACCTCCCAGAGTGCGGGGTTACAGGTGTGAGCCACTGCACCTGAACCTTCGCTTATTTTCTAATCATTGAAAATTATTTCTGTGCTTTAAATATTTATTTAAATCTATTTTATTTCTATAGATACAGTGTGTACATGTGTAGGTTTGTTTCCTGTATATATTGCATTATGGTGAGGTTTGGGTTTCTAGTGTCCCTGTCACTCAAATAATGAACATTATACCCAATAGGTAATTTTTCAACCCTCACCCTGCCCGACCTCTGCCCCTTGTTTATTATTTCTCTCTATATCCATGTGTATCCATTGTTTAGCTCCCACTTGGAAGTAAGAATATGCAGTATATTTTTTAAAGACAGGCTAGAATACAGTGGTGCACTCATGGCTGACTATATCGTGAACCCTCTGGACTCAAGTGATTCTCCTGCCTCAGCCTCCAGAGTAGCTGGAACTACAGGCACGTGCTGCCATGCCCAGCTAATTTTTTTTTCTTTTTTGTTAAAGATGGTGGACTTACTATGTTACCCAGCCTGCGTTTGAACTCCTGGCTTTAGGCAATGCACCTGCCTCCATGTCCCAAAGTGCTGGGATTACAGGTGTGAGCCACTGTGCCTGGCCTGTGTTTGATTTTTTTGTTTCTGAGTTATTTTATTATTTTTAAAGAAGTAATCACATACTGTAATTATCTTCTGCTTTTGTTTAAGTATCATTTTCCCGTGTTCTGTTGTAGAATGTAAACATTTTGATAAAGCTTGTCATTTGTACTGCATGTTTATGCCCCATCATGTAGCACGTATTTCATACATGAAAAGTAGTTATTAAATAAATAAATGTGAGGATGAAAACTTAAATATGAGGAAAAACACTGGTGTGAGATATCTGAGATGGTGGGGCTGGAGATGATTGAAAGCACCTCTGTGGCAGTAGATCATTGCTGTTGTAAAAGGATGGATAGAGGCAAAGGCAGAAACACACAAATAAACTTGGGGAAAGTGGCAAGATGGCTGAATAGGAACAGCTGCGATCTGCAGCTACCAGTGAGACCAATGCAGAAGGTGGACGATTTCTGCACTTCCAACTGAGATACCCATTTCATCTCATTGGAACTGGTTAGACAGTGGGTGCAGCCCATGGAGAGCGAGCAGAAGCAGGATGGGATGTCGCCTCACCCAGGAAGTGCAAGCAGCCAGGGAACTCCCTCCTCTAGCCAAGGAAAGTCGTAAGGGACTGTGCTGCGAGGGATGGTACTATCTGGCCCAGATAATACACTTTTCCCATGGTTTCACAACCCACAGGCCAGGAGATTCCCTCAGGTGCCTACACCGCCAGGGCCCCGAGTTTCAAGCACAAACTGGGTGGCCATTTGGGCAGACACTGAGCTAGCTGCAGTTCTTTTTTTATACCCCAGTGGCACCTGGAATGCCAGAGAGACAGAACCATTAACTCCCCTGGAAAAGGGGCTGAAGCTAGGGACTCAAGTGGTGTAGCTCAGCGGATCCCACCCCCACAGAGACCAACAAGCTAAGATCCACTGGCTTAAATTCTCG